AAAACACACACACACATACCCTCACACCACACACACAAATACCCCCTCATCAACTTCAGGAATTGTATTGTCCCAATTACTGGATTAAGGATTGACATAAACATTTGGGTAGAATGAAGCTCTCATAGCCACTAGAGGATTTAGAGGATAAACACTCTAAATGGCATAAAATACGTTTTATAAATACAGTTAAATACAAGGTTTACCCAATCAGCAAATGTTTATTGGGCACCTGTTATATGCAAGGCTCTGAATATGAGTGGGAAGCCATTTATGGAAAACATTTGCTTCCAGAACATCCAATAGATTTTTTTTTTTTTGTTGTTTTTTTTTGAGACATAGTCTCACTTTGTCACCCAGGCTGGAGTGCAGTGGCCCGATCTTGGCTCACTGTGACCTCCAACTCCCGGGTTCAAGTGATTCTCCTGCCTCAGCCTCCTGAGTATCTGAGATTACAGGTGCCCACCAGCACATGTGGCTGGTGTGTGTGTGTGTGTGTGTGTGTGTGTGTGTGTGTTTGTGTTTAGTAGAGACAGGGTTTCACCATGTTGGCCAGGCTGGTCTTGAACTCTTGACCTCAAGTGATCCACCCACCTAGGCCTCCCAAAGTGCTGGGATTACAGATGTGAGTCACTACGCCTGGCCCAGAACATTCAAATCATTACAAACCTGCTTTATAATGTAACACTTCTCCTGAAACGCCACCTTCTTTACTTAGAAACGGCAGCTGAGACAGAGGCTCCCTAGGGTATGTATTAGCTGACTGTCCCTTTTTGAAAACTTTCACAGCAGGCCTGTGGGCTTGAAGTTTCTTTTGCAAATGCATGCTCCATTGTCTGGTTTTTGCAAGTCTCCACAGAAATTTTGGCATAGCTGCTTTAGCTTCTACAAATGATCACTACTCCCTCTCCCTCCGTGGACCTTGGATTACCTTTTACCAGACTTGCCAGGGTGGTCTGAAAATGAGATCTAATTTTCAGACAGGGCTGTATCCCTGTCAGCAGCTTCAGAGGGTAGTTGACCTGGTAGAGGTCAGTTCTTCCCATTCGAGAGCAGAATCTGTCCAGGAGTTACAGGAATGGATATTTCCTGGTTATGTGACCCAGGAAGGGTCTCCTCCTTCCTGGGATGAGGCGAGGAGGAAAGGGAGTGGGCTTGGGACTCAGCAAACCTGGATTCAAATTCCAGCTCCTCCATGCCACAGCGTGGGCTGGATTTCCTTATGCAAGTGATAGCAGCTTCCTATCAAATGGGAGGAGTAGCGGCTACCTCCTAGAGTGTCATCAGAAGTAAATGAGGTGTGTGTGTTATGGATTCTGTTGCTGCCTCACCAGAGTCCTGCTCATCATTCAGCTGCTGTGAGTGTTGGCTGCTAACTATTCACAGCTACTCCTTCTTTGGAAAATTGGAACTGTGAACTAGGGAGAGAATGTAAGGGGAAGTCTAGAGACTGATATCCTTACCTCAAGGAGAGACCAACTTTGCAACTCCTCATGGGCTCCAGCTAATCCAGCCAGACTCCAGCTGAGGCCAGATCCTGACACCGCTCCTCCCCTGTCCTTTCCTGCCTCCCTTCCCCCCTCCTTCCGAGAGTCCTCCTCCATCAAACCACTTTCACAGGCGCCCCCCTCTCAGGCTCTACTTCAGAGGAAGCTAAACTAAGAGTATGTAAAGCACCAGCGTTTGGAAAAACCAGCTATGACTTATTTTTATTTTCATTACCATTAATGATGCTTTGGTCACACAAGAGCCTCTGGTCACCTCTTGTGCTCATTTACAACTTGGTGTTTTTGTATGCATTGTTTCCTCTGATGGGAATCCCCTAGTGTTTTTCAACCAACAAATGCCTATTTGTTCCTTCAGGGGCACTGCAAATGTCACCTTCTCATCACAGCCTTCCTGGCTGTGTGTAGAGTTTTCCATTCTCTTGGCTCTGATACCACTTCTGCTAAAGAGCTTGCTCATATTTCTAAAGGAATTATTGAAAGAACTTGTGTGTGTGTGTGTGTGTGTGTGTGTGTGTGTGTGTGT